CTTTTCTAATAGTTATCAAAACATCCTTTCCCTTTAAATCCAAATTCTTTGCTGTACTTGTGCAAATCTTATTTGTGCTCCAGAGTCGAGTAGAATGTTCCCTTGTTTGTGTCGATTGTTCTTTCCACATATCTTCACTGTAAGAACTGGCAGCATTGCTTCTGTGTTGTTTTCTACCAATGCTACGCCCACTGATGCTGCAGGATTTGAAGGATGCAAAAGAATATGATGATAATATTTACATTGAACGTCACTTATTTTCTGTGTACACTGCTTCCTTCTGCTACAGTTTGATGCTCTGTGATCACGTCCGGCCTTCTTAAGACAACTGAAACAAGCGTGGTTTTCTCTTACTGTTTTCAAACGGTCCTCTGGACTCATGGACTTAAATTTTTCACATTGGTCTACCCAGTGCGTTGAATTGTCGCAGATCCAACACTTTGGTGGTTTTCCTCCAGATAGCTCAGTGGAGCAGTTGCACGCATCCTCGACTTCATTTCCGTCTCCATCCAAGCAATGAGACCTTGTAAGTTTGCTGGCTTTTCATTCCTTTCCAATTCACGAGCCCAAATCTTTCTATCTTCCACACACATTTTCTGTTCTATTAGTGATAACATGTGATTGTTATCCATATCCCACTCCCTTCATCGTATTGAAACTACGCTTTACTAAATGCACCAGATCACAAAAGCGTGAATCTTCTCCTTCTTTCAGGGGTCGGAACTTTGACAGATCTTGGGTTACTTGGTCCGACACATATCTGGGGTCTCCATAGATTGAGTCTAAATATTGCCATGCACCATCATAATCTGTACCAATTCCTTTGATAAGCTCTAGGGGTTTTCCCTGCAAGCATGCACAAAGGTACGTCATTGCATCCCTTTTACTGTATCGCGATTCAATAGCATGCTTAAAATCATCTCGAAAAATACTGTACTCTCTGACGTCGCCACTAAATCGAGGCATTTTTGGCTTCTCCATTTTGAAACCACAAACAGGTTGAATATTTGAAATACTTTGGGCACCCTTCACTTGAACTATTGTGTTCTTGACCTTGGTGGGGTTGGGGGTTGACCTTGGTGGGATGGTGTTTGACCTTGGTGGGTTGGGGGTTGACCTTGTTGGGATGGCAGTTGACCTTCATGGGTTGGGGGTTGACCTTTGTGGGTTGGGGGTTGACCTTGGTGGGATGGACCTTCACCTTGGTGGGATGGGCCTTGACCAGACCCAGGGATACCGTCATGCTCTTGCTGCCCATTGTCACTAACAGTTGTCTCTGTTTGATTGGGCACTAAACCTATTTCTGGGTTTGTTTCATTTTCAAACTGACCTTGTGACTTGACCTTTAAATAATCCTTTGTTCTGCATAAACCTCTGTTGACAATCTTCAATCCATTCTTCCTCAGTTGCAAATTCTTCATCGCCATCCACCAACTGAATATATTCGTCGTGTTTTTCAACCAATTTCTTGTATAAATCTTCCAAATTAGCGAGTGATTCCTCAACTTCCGGTATAGGTCTCTCATTTTTCAATAAATAATCCAAGCCATTTCCTGCCCTTGGTACACTCGATTTTGCACATCTCCGCTTCTTTTTCGCTTTGTTTAACGCTTCCTTCATTACCTCCGTCATTTTCTGAATATCCTTTAAGCCCTGGTCAGCTAGAAATCGAATTTATGGTTCACCAGAATCAGAAACCGGTATGTAAAGTGACCACAAATAATTTCCAAATATTGTATAATAATAGTAGTTAGTAGTAGTAATAGTAGTTGTAGTATTCAATCTAAAAGTATAAATACAAGAATTATCTACTGAATAAAGTGCATTAATAACAAGAAACAACATGAACCTTACTTCTTTGGCCTATATCACTTTACAATATACCAAATATAAAGCTATTTCTGAATGTTAAACCTCGAGTAACTTGAAACCAACATGTTTATTTCCCGCTACTTTCTTTCATGTGACTTTGTCTGTTCAATGACGTAATTATTTATCTATTTTTAAATTAGCGAAACAGCAGGGCAACAAAATATTTTAAATGATAGAATGTAGAGTTATTAAGTAGCTTCCAGTGCTTCCAGAGGGAATTGAATAGAATTTATAGACGTAAATTTTACAGATATTGGTAAAAAAATAAGGGTTTCATGCATGTTTTAACAGGAATGTGTCCGAAAAATTTTTTGACCCTTAAATTAATTGGTTTATGTCTGGAAAATTTTTTTTGCCCCTTTTTTGAATGTCCGAATGTCCCCCCGCTTGCCAACATTTTTGGGAGAGATAGTGACCAAAAAAAAATTTTTGCTGCAGAGCATCATCGGCTTTCGCAGGGCAATTCTAGCAGACAACCCCTAATTAAAAGGGGCTAGTTTCGCCCCTAGTTGGAGTGTACTATTCAGAAGCACCTGACAGTCATAAAGATGTTGTAACAAACTCCTTTGAAGGTAATGGACCTGTTATTGCATCATCATGGACCTGTTATTGCATCATCATCTCTTAGTATGGGTGTGGACTTTCATCATGTAACTTATGTAATCCACTTTGGCCCACCCAAACATTTAACTGAACATTTGCAAGGCACAGGGCATGGAGGCAGAGATGGTTTACAGGCATTTAGTCTGACTGTATTTCTCCCAAAGCATATAAGACAGTATGATAAGCAAATGAAAAAAGCAGTTAATAGTGCACTAAACTTTTGTGCAAGGGTGGCTAACTAAAGGATTTTGATGAAGAAGTTGTGCCACCTGATCTATCCCACAATTGCTGTGGTTTTTGACATAAGCAGTGCAAATGCGGTGGTGGTGATAAATGTTTAGTACCTGTACCTGTATTTGACAGCCTACCAGAACATCAGGAAGAATATGGCATTACTTTCCGCACTGTTAGTGACGATGATAGAAAGTGTACTGAAGAAGCGTTGAGAGAATTGCAGGTATCTTTGACATTTTGGTCAAATCTATCTGTACTTGCTTCACGTTTTAGTAAGCCATATGAATTACTCGGTCAGTTTCATGTCTGTTCCTGTTCTGTCTAGCTACTACTTGTAACCAGTCACTGAAAAGTTCAGATAAGGAGAGTGCTATGCAATATAATTTATGAACCTGTTGTAGGAAGCATTGTATTTGTGTACACTCCATGTCGTGTCTTGTCACATAGCAAGTGATGAAGCCCAGCATCCTGAATGGCCATTAGAACACACCATGTGACAATAAAAACACATCACCTTCAAATCTTTGTGAATCAACTTTACATTTGTTTGAGCAGTTTGGAACCGAACTTCATTTGAATGTCAACATACACAATGACACAGTCCTGTTTTATTTGTTGGATATAAGTTTCACTGTTCATGCCAATACTGTTTATATTTTGTCAACCATGTTGTCCATTCACTCTTCATCTCTGGACCAATGTCATCTGTCTCATCTGGGGCAGCTCCTAAATCTTCATCTTCGTATAACTGTTTTATGGGACTATCGTTGCCTTTCTCTCTATGACAAACATATTATTCATAAACAAACATTACAGTACAATAGAATTTTATGAAAGAAAGTGCTATACTGGGCGAAAATATGGTTTGGGCGAAAATATGGTTTGGGCGCATTCATGGAGAGAAATGTGTCTGCTTGCAATATTTAGTCGCCACAGAAAAAAACATGTTTGCTACCATGTTCAACTAAAGCTCAGCTTATCTGTTTGTATTGTCCAACAGTTGTAATCCCTACTTAGTCCTCCAAAACCAAATAATTATTAATCATTTATTACAGCTGTGAGCTGTATTTACCCTTTTACCTGCACTTGGGTATGCAGGGCTAGCCAATAACTAGGCTAGCCCAGCCAGTATGACCAGGAACTTACATTTCCTGAACCAGACTCTCCATTTGGGAAATATCAAAATCAGTTTCCTGATGCTGGTGGATGTAGCTTTCTTCACTTGATTCAGAAATATAAGTTCTATGTAAGTTTGCATGTTGATAAAACATATAATAGTTTTGTTTGTGGAAACACCATGTCAATTTATTACTTCAAAGCTTTTAATCCATAAGCCCGGATCTTCATCAGTGCTAATAATATGTTAGCATTTCCACAAACAACTCTATTAGAAATGTTTGTAAATTGTGAATACAAACCAGTGGTTGAAATGATTGTTCTACAGGACTCTAACACTCATTATGGATCAGTCAAATGCCAAATAAATAAAGGATTCTTACACAATATTACTTATTTTGGAATTATTGCCTTTATGCAATAAATGTGAGTAAATCAACATTTACCATATGTCAGAGTCACATGTACTGCCAGAAGAATCTGATGATATAGAACTATCATAAACTGCACACTCCGTATTTATATAAATAGATATTCTGCTGGTGTTCAATGGATTGGTCACACGAAAAGATGAAACATAAAGTGATCCATCATCAGAACACATTACACACATAATGGTAGATTCATCTACTTGCTCTTCTGACATAGATCCAGACTCCTCTCCTGACATGGGAAGCAGTGGGGCAGCACCCCCCCCCCCAATAATTTTAGAAGCTAGGGGGCAGCCCCCCCCCCCTCCATAATTTTAGCTAGCTTTCATTTTTAAAAATGTAACATGCGGGTCACACGCTATACCTGGCCAATACAGAGCTCCCATAGCCAGATGAAGTAAAAAAACATGCATATTGGTGCACCTTTACCTTTAGAATGGAGGCATTCCGAGAGTTGTGCGATAGAAACGGTGCATAGTTTTGACGATTTGTATTTCCAGTTGGGATCAGCTCCCTGTTTGGACTAAAAATGGAAATACCATGATAAAGATGCAAATTTGAACATATAGGCTCGATGATGATACTCTAAATAGTGTTTCTGATAGCGATTCAAACAAGTATTACAAAGAAGATACAGCCAAAGGAGCTGAAGTTATGTTTGGGGTATGGCAGTCTATATTATTACAATCTCGCTTGACTTTCAAAAGGCCATAAATTGCTACAATGTTGGCAATGACAAACTGTTCTGAGGAATTAGTTGATATTGTTTCACTTGAATTGAATGGTGGTATTATTGTCTTAAAGCATGCACTTGAGCCGAAGTTATAAACATACAAAGTCATCAGCTTCTAGAAGTTGACATGCGTGGGACTTGTTGAGAAAGAGCTAAACCACCTATTTAATCATCTAGAATATTTTCTCTGAGATGCCTTTTTTATGCTTAGCATATGATTTATAACAAAATGCACCATTTAATTTATGATTTGAAAACCTGCAATCTCTTACAAAATGTGCTCTCAGAATGCTGCAAATACCATTACAGGGATGCAAATTTAAAACGTTTTCTGGTTGAGCATTCCCCCATACCCCGTAGCAATCTTGTGCCTTTTTAACTCCCCTCCCCCCAATATTTTACAACGTTTCCACCACTGATGGGAAGCAGCTCTTCCTGACATCCTTCATCCTTTATTTTGAATAAAGTGGTTGCTCTTGGGGCAGGCAACACTGGTTGCCCAAGGCTGTTTCTCACTTGCCCACATTAAATTAGATAAAAATAAATTAATGAAGTTATGAACCACAGCAAAACCAGTGTCTGTAATATACCAACTCACAAACTCCCCAACTTTGCGGGATTTTCAAAATTTATGCTAAAAATCATAATTCATTTCCTGCTAATTCACTCATCTTTTCGGCAATATGGCCACTGCAAGGTTGTTGGTAAAGAGTGAATTGACAGGCGAAGAACGATTCAAGCTTCTAATGACCGACCTCCCACTTGATTGCATAATTTAAATGTCAAAAGACCAGCAGTTAATCCATCATGTAACTTGTGGGAACCATTTAATCAACAAGCTAGCTGTTATCACCACGCTAAACTTCATATTTAATTATTAACTTTAATTATTAGTTATAAGGAAAATAGGCCACACCTATAGGCATTAGCTAGCTGAGAACTGTGATTGACATTTTGTTGTTTATGAATTGGACGAACGCGAACGAACGAGTATAGAATACAGAAATACAGAAGGATATATATATTAACCGCTGCAAAGTCATGTAAGTACAAGTATTTAAATTCATGTGATATCAGCTTGGTGTACTCTGAGATAGGAATAATTTCACATATGTATTTTAGTGAATCGCCTCGAATCGAACATATATTATCAACAACATTTGCGACACTGGGGTGATATCTAAGCTTGTGGCGTGTTATTATTAGTTGAAATTTATGAAAGAATATTAAAGAAAGAAATATCTGAAAGAATACTGAAAGAACACTACATCATTCAATGACTTGGCCGATCTTTGACCGAATGGATTGAATTGTTTTGGTATAAATACACGAACGCCTGTTTAAAATATAAACAAGCTTGAAACTGATATACTGAACTCTATTTGAACCGAGCAATTTAGCCTTTTGAATTCGAAACAAAGGTATGGATGAATCTGGTAAAGACAACGAAGAAAATTTAATGTTGTTTCATGATAAAACTGATGAAAACCGACCCGAAGAGAACGAACAAAATGTCTCTGAAACAAATCTCGCGAGTAAACAACACGGAAGTATTAGTGAAATTGACAAGGTCACAGATAAAACTGTACCTAGTAATACTGTCGATAGCGAAACCCCCGAAAACATTGAAACTGGAACTGAAGTAGGTCCTGTACGACATAGTACAAGACAGAAAACACAATTTACTGACAGAGAATCGATTGAAAACGAAGAAATATACCGCCAACAACGTACCCTTGGCGGTCATCAAGGGCGTATTACAGCACTCGTCAATCAATTAAGTACTTGTGTCACAAAGGGGCGTGGACCGCACGAAATCGTTGACATTTTAGAATCTCTTGAAAAGGCATGGCAAGGCTATAATAACGCATATGGAAAATATTTATTGAAAAATCTAGCAGAAGAAGAGTTCGCGCAAATTGAGGAAGTCTTTTCATATAATAGTAAAAATCACGCTTCTTGTGTTTTCGAAGCCCAGGAATATCTACGTTATTGTCAATCAATGGCACTTCAACAACAAGCAATGGCGCAAAGACAGAGCATTGGTTCAAAGTCAATTTCGTCCAAAGTTTCGAAATCGTCTAAGAGTTCGAAAAAAGAAAAAGCCAAAATGGATGCAGAATTGAAAAGATTGGCAGCTACCCAAGCTGAGGAAGCCGCGATATTTGAAGCTGAGATGGAAAAGAAAAAGATAGAGATAGAATTTCAAACGTGCGAAAAAGTAAGAAAACTGAAAGCAGAGGCTGCCCTCGCAGAACGAAAGGCCGAACTGATGCAAGAATATGACAGCGATGACATGTCCAGCTCGAATGATGAAAATGGATCGGACAGATTGCCACCCCCTCCAATTACACAATTAATAAAAGGAGAACAGACTGAATTATGGGTAAAGTCTTGCTCAAGCCAAACAGCTGATAATCAAGCCTTGGACAATCTTGAATCACCTGAGCGTGTCAACAATCAACCCAAGAAATATTTTGAAGACATGTGTAATAGAAATAAAGTGGAAACAAATACAGCTGGTCAAAAGGGACATGTCACATTTAATGAGCGTGGGAAAAATAGATCGAGTGCAAGAATCATACCGGAAATTAGTAAAAACCAGATTTCGGATGCTCAAGCAGTGATGTTAAAGGTGAATATGTTACAAGCAATGCAACCTGTGAAATTTGATGGTAACCTATCTGACTTTCCCACATTTAGAAAAAGATTGATTGACAATCTTGAAGACGGAGTTCTTAATGACAGTCAAAAAATCGAATTTCTACCTAAATTTGTATCTGGAGATGCGTATGAAACTGTGAAAAGAGTGGCTGGCTGTTCTTACCCGGATATTATAGTGATTTTGCAAGATAGATATGGTCAGCCTGCCACAGTTGCTGCCTCTTGTATTGAGTCCCTGACATCTGGTCCAAAGTTGACAAACGGTGACTACAAAGGATTGCGTAACTTTGCAGAACAACTTGCGTCATCAGTGAAAAGGCTTGAAGACGAATATGAACAAGAAGCGAGCACAACATCGAATTTAAATTTGATCGCTTCGAGGCTACCAAACTACCTGATTAACAAATGGGGAGACGTATCGTTCACGATTAGAGAAAAGGGAAGAAAGCCACGACTCGAGGACCTAGCTAAATTCGTGAAAAGGCAAGCGGCGATCAAAAATGATCCTGCGTTCATTGGATCAACCACAGGGAAAAACACGGACGGGAAATATAAGCCAGGGAGATGGCGCGGGCGGAAAAACGAAGACCCCAAAACAGACAAGGAAACTT